AGGAGAATCGCCACAGTATTGAAGGCAAAAGGTGACCCAACAAAGTACTGATGGGGTGGTCATAATAATCTGGCCACTCATCATAATATATATCCCACGTTCACAGGCTGTTAAATCACGTTGTTTACCCATATCTTCAGGGAAAAAAAAATCACTTCTGTCGTGGTAAACAACCTGCTTCCTTATTTATAATGGTCTGGGCCTCTAGCAACTTAAGTGCAAAATTATAGCTACTTTGCCAACAAACGTCAGGGTGGTCATAATAATCTGGACACTCAGTGTACTTGTGTCATGTTTTTTAAATCCACACTATCAAACTTTTAGTTGGTATATTCAGACCATTTATATTTGAGCCTTAATATATCAATTATTACATAATTCTTTCTTTTAATTTCTCTGGGTTTTTTTCTCCTAAGTTCCTGTAGGTTGTGTGAACATGTTTTAGAATTACACTCTTATTTGCCTGTAGTATTTTTTAGTGTATTTCTTTGTTTAGCCTTTTTGAGGTTTGCCCTATGTGTTATATATATGATATATCGATATATCTGTGATATATATACATTTGATGTTAGGACAGTGGTTCTTAACCTTCTGGCCCTTTAATTACAGTTCCTCATGTTGTGACTCAACCATAAAATTATTTTCGTTGCTACTTCATAACTGTAATGTTGCTACTGTTATGAATCGTAATGTAAATATCTGATATGCAGGATGGTCTTAGGCCACCCCTGTGAAAGGGTCGTTCGACCGCCAAAGGGGTCGCAACCCACAAGTTGAGAACCGCTACCTTAGGACAATATGGTGGTTTAGAAGATGCTGACCTCCATGCAGTTAAAAATCTGTGTGTAACTGCAGTTGATCCTCTGCATATGCTGAGCCTCACCTGCAGATCGAAAATAGCTTTTTTTCAATAGACCTGCACAGTTCATACTTCTGTTGTTCAAGGGTCACCTGTATATCAGTCTACTTTACTGTAAATCAACATTTTACCCTTCAAGTGAGGTGTAGAAACTTTCCTTTACTTCACTTTTCCCTCTACTTACAATTGTCTGAAACATTCCCTTTAGAATGAAGAACTACATCAAATAGTATTATAGTTTTTGCTTCAACCATTAAATGTAATTTAAAAATTCAAGAGGGAATGGTGAATATGGTATTTTCTAATTTTGCATTTTTTTGTCCTTCTTAATGTTTGATGTTTCAAGAACCCTTCATAATATCATTTTCTTTCTGTTCATAAAACTTCCTGTAGCCATTCTTTTAGGGTAGGTCTGCTAGTGACAAATTATCTTCATTTTTCATAGTCTGAGAATGTCCTTATTTCCTCTTCATTCCTTAAAGGTATAGTCACTGTACATAGGATTTTGTATTGCAATTCTTTTCTTAAATATTGGAAAAATGTTGTGGCTACTCTTTCTGGTTTCCATGGTTTCAGATGAGAAATCTACCATCATTGGAATTATTCTTTCTGTCTTAAGTGCAATCAGGATATTTTTTTCTTTGTGTGGATTTCCCAAAAGTTTGACTATGATGTATCTTAACACAAATTTCTTTAAGTTTATCTTTTTGGGGTTCACTCAACTCCTTGAATTGAAGCATTTTTATGATGGCTACTTTAAAACCCTTGTCAGATAGTTCTAACATTTATGTCATCTCTGGGTTGACATCTGTTTTCTCATTAAAGTTGAGACTTTTATGTTTTATTTATTTATTTGTAGAGTACATTTATTAAAGCTGGGGACAGTGGAAAAAGGGGATTTAGAGTAGAAGCAGCAATAGGAGAGCCTAGGTGGGGCTGCTATTGGCTCCCTGAAATTAGAAAAGGGGCCTTGGGGACAGGTTCAGTGGTTTTGCTGCCCACCCTTCCTCTCATTGCAAGTCCCATGGGGACTCCAAGAGCTTAAAAAAAGTAGGTGCCTTACAAAAGGGCATGGGCACGCTCCAAGGAGAGCGCTGAGATTGAGATCTGGATATTTTGGGTATTATGTTACAATCTTTGGGTCTTTTATTTAAATCTACATCAGGCTTCCTCTGATAAGTTTTCTTCAACTGGGGAGGGGGAGCACTGCTTCATGATTGGCAGGTAGCAAGGGAAGTTCACGTTCTCCCCTTGATTGGGTGATGGTGTTTCATTATTGCTGGGATGGGAGTTCAGGCTTTCCACTGCAGCTCAGGTGACACCACCCTAGCAGAAGGGGCTGATGGGACTCATTACTACTCCTCGGGTGGTCTCCACTGACACTGTAGATGGTATCCTCTGATCCCACCCCAGCCAAAGAGAAGGAAGAGTCACCTCATTACAGAGCGGATTATTATGTACTGAGATGTTTAGTTACTACCTGGGAAGGGTTTCCCACTGAGTTTTTGCTGGACCATATAGGTGCAGGTCCACAGTTGGTTTGGGGTGTTTTTTTGTTTTGTTTTGTTTTGGGTATTTGGCTGTAGTTAGAGAATTTGTTTGAAAATTTTCTCTCTTGCTAGGTTGCCATTTCCTGGTCTCTTGTAGAGAGCAGGCTTTGGGGACTAGGAGGTTGGGTTTGTTTTGTTTTGTTTTAGTCTGTCTAGCTTCACCCGTTAAAATTGTTGAGTTGCTGACTTTTCCAGCATCTTGCCTGAAATACATAAATGAGAGAAAAGAAAATTGGGGAGCTACATTTCCTGCATGTCCCAGGATACCTAATCATTCTGCCTCCTCTATTTTTTAGACTTTCTAAAGTTGTATGTAGTGGGACAAATAAGGGAATGTCTATCTAGTCTGTCATTTTGGAAGTAAAAAGGCTGTAAAATTTCTGCTCTTAGAACTTCATCAGATGGTGGGAAAGGATTTCTGCATTTTAAGTGAGAAGCTGAACTGAATAAATTATACTGGTGGTCTCAAATCTGGCTCTGCATCAAAATCATTGTGAGAACATTGTAAAAATAGATTCCTAGACCTTACCCCACAGATTGTAAATCTGGCACAAGGGCCTAGGAATGCGTAATTTTAAAAAGCTCTCTAGGTGATTTCGAGTACAGCCATCCATTAATGTGGGTAAATTCTTTTTACGTCCCTATGCTTTAGTTCTCCATGAGGGGACTCTACTAGGATCCTTTATCAATGTAGGCAATAAGAAGCACTTGAACAGCTATTTTACACTTCTGTTTCAGCCTCCTATCCCAAAGATTCTGATTAATTAGGGCTGGGGCCAGGATGATTGAGAAAACTACAGGCTATCAACTCAACTGTGCACTTAGGGAAGAGTCATTCAGACTAGGTGATATCTAAGGTACTTTACAGTAAAGAACTTGTAAATAAATAGTCCTGGGATTTTATATAATCTGGAAAAGGCAAAGAAGGATAAAAGAATGTTGTCCCCACCTTAAGTGTTTCAACGCTGGTCACCCCCACAGGGTTGCCACATGGGATTATGTAGGCTGTGTCCTGTGAAACTTCACCTACACCAGTCATTTTCAGTCCTGACACCTGTTGAAATACATTGTAAGGTGTTCAATAGCCTGTATTCAGTAGAGGCCAGAGAGATTGCCAGGTGTCCCTTAATGGCAAACCAGAGACCTACATAGTAATCTGAGTAGTGCCCACTGATTTGCAAATATTTTTCCATTATATTGTTTACCACTTGTTGCTTAAGTAGAATGTATGCAAAGATTCGAAGTTAGACGATAAGAAAGATATAACTTAGCCTATTTCAATCTCATCCTCATATCAATGTCTTAAAAGTAAACCACTGCTTTTATGCCTTGTACATATAATCTGGTCTCTAAATCCCTTTTTGTGAATTTCATAGGAAAGCTAATGAATGAGGATTTATAGTTAACAGATAAAGGGAACCAGTTGGATAGGGAAA